AAAAAAAAAAAAAAAAAAAATATACCTAGCGCACTAATAAATGACTTAGACTGCTTGAAATTTGACTCACTTTACTACTACTTTTTTCCACACGGTACCGGCATTATCTCAAGTTCTATACAACCGATTTACGAAATTTTGTGTGAACCTTCTTAATATAATCCTTTATCGTTCCCACCAGTTGGCGGTGGGAAGAAATAGGAAAGAGTACTTTACATACTCAATTCTAACTGACAAAGTGTTGGAACGAATTTTTTTATAATTACTAAACAAAAAAAAGATCACGCGAAAATACAAACAAAGAAAACGCTGTCGTTAAACAAATTTATATTTGGTTTTTAAGATGTGGTAACGCTCGTTTTCCTCATAATTGTAAACAATCTATTTTTTTAACGATGAGTATGCAAGGTGATTTATAAATTAATAAATTAGCTAAAAAAGAACAAAATCAAAGTGAATTGTTAACTTATTTTATTGTTTAGAGTGTATATTTAAATATATAATACAAAGTGAAAAATTTTAACAGTTTAGTGAAACAATGAGAAACGGTATGTGTGATTGATACACATCTTGGAATTTTTAATAGGGATTATTTTAAAAAGTATCTCCGTATCTGTAAAAGCGCCCCTTCCAGCACATACGCCATTTATATCGAAGTTCGTGTTCTCTACCAGACCACCAAAGTAATCGGAATCGTGCCATCATTATTGATTGAAGTTTTTAAGTTACTGACAAAGTAAAATCCATGTTATAATCTAATATTTTTTGTAACTCTTAAAAATTTACCATATATAAGTTTTTCTATACTTTTTAGAAGATTTCAATAAATTAATACTTCATGAAAAGCACTATGCATTAATACGTATAAGGCATTATTCATAATTTTCAAATATTTTCAGGAAATTATAATCTTGGACGAGGTAGATGTGACAGTTTTCCAACCAGAACTAGAGAGTTCAATGATGACGCGAATGAAATTTTTAAATCATCACACATACAAAATGTTCCTTGTACAGCAACGCCTCGTATTTTATCACTTTCCCGGTACAGTACAAGTCCACCAATAGATTCTTCTTTTGGAAGTACAGAAAGAAAAGAATCGGTGAAGCTAAATGATCAAGAAGAAACCGGAAACTATTTGCCATTTCGTTACAAGTAAGTACCAAAACAAACAATGTTATAGTTTTTTACTTTGACAATTTATTCTGGAAGTAAGGAGGTAGAAATTGGATATCTCTTTCAAGCTTTGTTAAACAAATATTGTATTAAGTATTTGTAGGATAAATTAAATTTTTCGTTCCAAGTTAAAATTTTTTTCGAGGGGATAATGAGTGAATGAGAGCTTTATCTTTGTACGCCGAGAGATAAAGACAGACGAAATTGTCTACGACTTCAAAGTTATGACTGCCAACAATGACATGGGAACCAAACCGCGAGTGCGCGGATTGCTTGTTTTATGACAGGAGATATTTCGTCTTGCCTCGTTCACTACCAGACCCATTTGCTTCGCTTCGGTGTCCAGTCTGGCAAAATAACTGCGTATATATTGAGGTCAACAGTATCAATATCATCCTCGTACGCCAGCAGATGTACACTCTTATAAAATATTTCTCTTCTCTATTCAGTTCTGCAGCTCGATCTATTTTATCTAGGAGTAGATTGAAGAAACTATCGTGCGAAGGAAGTCGCCTAGTCTGAAGATGCTCTTGGTAATGCTCAACGTCAGTTTACACAACCATTTTAGTTTTGCGGGGATATCAAATTCAGACATCGCGGCAATTTCTTTCCCAAGATTTGGCGCATGGTGAATATCTGGTCAGTTGTTGATTTGCCAGGCATAAAGCTCCACTGATATGGTCCAATCAGTTTGTTCACGGTGCGCTTTAATCTTTCATACAATACGCTCCATCGTCATCGATTGGGGACTCGAGTTTGCCATCCCCTAGTGTTATGCTTTCTCTGCAATTCAGCAGGCTTGAGAAGTGTTCCCTCCATAAGTTTAGTATGCCCTGGGCATCAGTCAACTCTGGAGTTTCTACGCTATGCTCCGGTCTTGAAACTTTCTGTTAGTCGACGCATCTTTTCGAGCATTACCCCTATCGGCCAACTTGTCTAGCTCTTCGTACTCGTGGTCTTTTTTTGTCTGCAAATGCGTCTCAACTCTCGGTATCTATCTCATCCCGCTCGTGTTGTCGTCTATCGTGGCGGTGCGAGGTAGGCAGTATGTTTTATCTCCGCTACGACACGGCTCTCCTCGTCGCATCAGTTGTTCTTTTGTATTTTCCTAAAACCAATGGTTTCGGTTGCAACGTTACGTAAGGAGCTTAATACCGTCCCAAAGTTCCGCTAGACCGAGTTACTGATGAGTGGATGAGCAGGGTTGCAAGTCTAGTAGAAAATCGTTCGGCTATCTGTCAGGATTGCAGCTTGTCGACATCGAACCTTCCTTGTGTTTGTTGACGTGTGTTTTTGTGCACAACACGCGATTGTGCACGATTTTGACATTGTGGCGGGGGCATAGAGAAGCTTCATAAAAAACACCTTTGGTCACATCGTCCTAGGGGCATTTGGCATTTGGCCTCAAAAACTGGACAAAATTATTTAAAGTAATTTTATGAATGATAAAATTACATGATTGAATATAATAATGCAATATATTAAAACAAAACAAGCAAGGAAGGCCTAAGTTCGGGTACAACCGAACATTTTATATTGAATATATTTGAGTAGGGGGAAGTATGCACCAGATTTTATCTATTTTTGCTCATCCCACATACTACTGATATGCCACATACTCAAAAAATATTATCTGGGTTTCATTAAAGTATCTTACGTACAATCACCAATCATAGGGAGCCAGGTCAAGTGGGTGTTCAAAAATCTTGGTAATAATTATTTGGGGCAGGGTCAAGATTTCGCCCAATTGTATCTATTCTAAACACAATGATACCGTTATGAGAAAAAATTCTCTTTAATTTTTATTTAGATAACTCAAATATTGGCCGATATATCCAGCATAAAGGCATCTGGAAGTTCGAAAATCTTTTTATTGGGTATATGGGAACTAAAAGAAGTATTGACTCTAACAGTGATATGATTCAACCCATTTTTGATACAAAGCTACTATTGTCAGGAAAGGATTTTGTGTGAATTTTAATTCCATATCTCACACATTGAACGGTTTCTTCGGTCAAAAGTCAACTATACGTACCGGGGTCCACACATTCGGTACCTAGGGGCTTGAAAAGTTTTGGTTGGATTCGGACAACTTTTCGTCAAAAGATGGCATACTTTAAGGGAATTATTATCGTATAATTTTATTCCGTTATATCAATTACTTCTTTATTTGTGTACTGGAAAGTGAAAGAATCAATATCAAATCAATAATTTTAAATTATGTTATATTGGAAGTAGTCGTGATTATACTCCGCTCATTTCATTATTAAATTGAAACAAAAAAATAAATAAACCAGCAACATGATTTTTTTTTAAAGAAGGGAATGATGGGAAAAATGTTTAAGTGTATATGTTAATAAAAAGAAACTAGTTTAAATTAATATATATTTCGACCTGCCCCGACCCTATAACAAAAACACTTTTTTCTAAAAACTGGAAAAATATTTTTTCGTTTTTTTTTTTTTGATATTTCATTGTTTTTCCGATAAAAAACAACATTAAAGAAAATGCATCAAAACAACCTTGAGTTGAAACAATACAACAGCCTTATCTTAGAAAAAAGGAAATGTATCAAAGCAAACAATATATGTACATATATATGTGTAAACAAACCTAAACAAATGATATAATATACATCTATGGAGTAGTCGTATTCTAAGTTATCATAAGATTGTCCATTTATTACAAAATTCGCTATATTTATTACAGCGTCTTATCCAAAAAATAGTTACTTTACGTTTTAATGTTTGACGATAAAGTTGGATGAAAGTACGGCGGAGCGGTAAACATGTGGTCCGTTCCCTCGAGTGGTTGAAGAAAAGGAGAAAGAGTCGTCTGTGCGTGGCTGGAGTTTTCTACGGCGTCGTAATGGCCGACTCATTGAGTCGTCACGCCGCGTAATGGCTGGTGAGTGCCGGTCGTTGGAGAGAGATGGCAGATGGGTGCTGTTAGCAAAATCAGGTGTGGCCTGGCGTGGCGTAGTTGCCACATCCACTCCCCTTCCAGTGACTTGGTCTAAAGGAGAAAGGCACGAATTGTTTTGTGTTGGTGTGGGTTGTGATGTGGGTGATGATATTTGAGATGTGGATTGTGAGTCGTCTGTTAGCTCAATGTATGCTGGCTTCAGCATGTCGATTGAGACTATTTTGTCTTCTCTATTGATCCTAATGATGTAGGTTTTGTCGTCTACACGCTGGATGACTTCGTGGGGGCCAGTGTATCGTTGTGCCAGAGGCTTCTTGATGGAGTCTACTCTCTTGAAGACGTGGGTGCACGTGTCAAGGTTTTTGAGTAGGAACAGCTTGTGTTTGGTGTGATGAGCTGTTGGTGTTGGCCTGATTGCTTGGATGATTTGTCTGTATTTCCTCACGAATGTTTGTGGATCAGCTGGTGTGCTTGCTGTAACGAAGAAGTCACCGGGTATATGCAGTGTAGTCCCAAAAAGCATTTCAGTAGGAGATGCTTTCAGATCTGGTTTGTATGCGGTTCGGAGTCCTAGTAGAACTGACGGTAGCATKTCCGGCCAAGGTGTCTCATTTTTGCACATGAGAGCAGCCTTGAGTGTACGGTGCCACCGCTCCACCAGGCCATTCGATTAAGGATGATACGGTGTCGTTCTGATACGATAAATGCCCAGCATTCGTGAGAGTGAGGTGAACAGTGCTGATTCAAATTGCAGACCTTGATCAGTGGTGATTGTCAAATCCACTGGGTGTAAAAGGCGTGTGCAACTGTCTCAGCTGCCATGTTGTTGAGTGGTATGGCGTGTGGCCATCTGCTGAAGCGGTCAATGATCGTTAGACAGTAGCGAAGGTCCTTGACTCTGGACAGCTCTATGAGATCCAGGTAGACATGCTCGAAGCGATTGTCTGGTACGTCAATGTGGTTTGGTGTGGTGCGATTAAGACGATAGGTCTTGGAACGTTGACATGGTATGCAGCGTCTGGACGAGAGGAGCGCGTCTTTTCTAATACCTGGGCAGACGAATCTTCCGGTGAGTTCCTTGGCTGTGGCCCTGCCATTAGGGTGAGAAGACCATGGATGATGTCAAAGGCCTGGCGTCTGAGTGGCTGTGGAAGATAAGGTCGCACAATATTATTAGACACATTACATAGTATATCATGACCTTTGTTCAGCAGGTGCAGCTTGAGAGATGTGCTGGATTGGACATCACTAAGCTGGTCATCTTGGAGTTGTGCCAGCGCAATGGTCTCAACATCAAGTTTGGTTGGCATGGTTATGGCATTGATCCTCGAAAGCGCATCAGCTACGACATTTTCTGTGCCCTTGGTATGGAAAATCTGCGTTGAGAACTGTGGGATGTAGTCCAATTGACGTAGTTAGCGAGGTGATGTCTTGTCAGCACGTTGAGAAAAAGCGTAGATGATTGGCTTGTGGTCGGTGAAGATGCTGAAGTTTCTTCCCTCGAGAATGTTCTTGAAAAACTTGATGGCAGCAAAGATGGCCAGAAGTTCACGATCGTACGTGGAGWACCTGGTCTCTGCTGGACTGAGCTTGCGGGAGAAAAAGGCCAGTGGTTGCCATGAGTCCTTGTGTCGCTGTTCAAGAAAGCTCCCAATGGCTGTATCCGAGGCGTCGGATCTCAATGAGAGGATGGCGTTTGGTGCGAGGAAAGCCAGGCACGTGGCTTGGATGACACTTCTCTTGCAGTCTTGCCAGGCTTGATCTGCAGAAGGTRTCCACTGGATTTTAGTGTTGTCCTTCTTCTTGGCATGTTTGAGAAAGTCCGTCAGTGGTGATTGTATCTGGGCCGCTTGAGGGATCGCTCCCCGGTAGTAGTTGACGATTCCCAGGAAACGACGTAGATCGCTGACGGTTTCTGGCTTTGTGTAGTCGGCGATTGCTTGCGATGGGCGACTTGACTGTCAGTGGCTGTGGCAGGATTGGTGCTGGGATGAGTTATGTCGATGAATTGGTTGATTAATTGCAAGTATTTGGCGTCATGTGCACCAGGACAGATTGAGCGGTCGATTGTTGAAATGCTGTGTACCGTGGCCTCAGATAGTGTGCCCTRAGTTGTGCATGACGTGGTTGTATCGATGAGACATCGTCCTTTGAGATCTAAAAGCAATGCAAAGTGGACCAGGAAGTCTGCACCGAGAATGGCTGATTTAACATCTGCAATTATAAAAGACCAATTAAATGTGCGGCGAAGATTGAAGTCAARGGTGATGACTTTTCGACCGTAGGTTCGGATAACGGTCCCGTTGGCTGTGAAGAGAGTCAGATAATCTTCTTTGAGCGTGTGAGCGATGGCGGACTTGGGCATGAGAGAGATCACTGATCCAGAATCGACAAGAAATCTCATTTTTGTTGTGCGATCTATATCACATCTATATCTAAACAAATAAACTAGTACACATACTAGTTAGTATAAATAAAAGAAAGAGCCATGAGGAGTATTATTAAAGAGTACACATTTCGGAGATTTCCAAAGTAAACAGGACTTTTTGAATCTAGCGCCCTCTGATGGTRTCATCCATATGCCGAGGGTGCTTTAGAATCTGCTATCTTTGTCCAGTGAGAATTTCATGACATTTCATATATTAGAAGTGAAGTTAAGTATGTTTGTGTTATCGGTGCGAAAATGAGCTTCGAACAAAGAGCCAACATTGAATTTTGTTTTAAAATTGATTAAACTTTTACCGAAACGTATCAATTGATGTAACAAGTAAATGGCGATGATTGGCTATCCCGTAGCAGAGTGCACGGGCGGTTTCAGCTTTTTCAAAGTGGTCGTGAGGACATAAACGATCATCGGAAATTCCATCGAAACTGTGCGTGAATTCATCAAAAATCAGTCGAAATCATCATTGAAATTCATGGAAATGAAATTGAACATCTCCAAACCATCGATTTATCGCATTTTGAGCCAACATTTGGGCTTACGAAAGGTGTGTGCACGGCTCGTTCCGCACAAATTGACTGATGACCAAAAATTGCTCAGAATCCGACATTCGATGGACGATTATTTGACTAAAAATCACATTTTAACCATTAACCACTCCCCGTTTTTTAATTTATATGGTACCGTGCGACTTCTTCTTTTTTGGAAAAAAGCATTTGTCTATGAAAGGAAAGCGTTATATAGACGTATAGGCCATTCAAAAGGCTTACACCGGCATACTGGTGGCCAACGAGTTAACACTCGTTCGACATGCTTTTGGACCTTGCAAAAAGCTGTATTGAAGCAGATGGATTCTGTTTTGAATTAAAATGATTGATTTAGCCGAAAAACCATTTGTTCTGCTTGTTTTTTAAGTCCAGTTTACTTTGGAAAACACCGTGTATAATATTTTGACTCTTTTTTACGCGGATTGTGGCTAGACGTTCATCCACCGGGGACTGGGCGACGAAGTCTGTCTCCCATCACGCATCCCACACCGAATTTACTCTCTTTTATATGGCTACTGTAGCAGTGCCAAAAAATTAGTTTCATAAATAGATAAACTCGGGCCTGATCGAAAGATTTTTTTTTTCAAAATTAACCAAATGGCGGGCTCAGGAAATTTTTGGGAAAAAATCAACAGTCTTAGAAAATAGAAATTTTTGAAAAGCAAAAAATTCTTCGATAAAGCCTGAGTTTATTATGTATTCTAAAAGCTGAATAAGTTTCATTAAAATCTACTGAGCGGTTTTCGAGTTAAAGTTGTCACCAGTTCAAAAAAAAAAAAAAAAAATGTTGAGAAAAACTCGTTTAAAGTTTCACACTAACGCTTTGAAGTGGCCGAGCTCTCTTTGTTATTTGTCGAATAACTCAAAAACTAATTATCGGATCAACGTGAAATTTTCAGATAATATTTTTATATATTATTTTTTTGAAAATTCTGACTACCCCTAACTCCTTAAGGGGCCGAACATTCTAGGTGCATAGCCTTAAATCGTAATCCTTTGTAGTAGTCGCCATCTCATAAGACATAAATCTATATTATATAGTAGCTTCTGATGTGATGTGAAGTTTGGTCTTGTTTAAAGAATGTGTAATATCTTAAAAAAATCATAACAAATGCGCACTCTCTATAAAAGTAAAATTAAAAAAATATATACAATTTATGTTCCTTAAATCATTATCATGATTTAAATTCATTATTTTCAATTTTAATTTATAATTCCACAACGTTTGAATATAAACACGATTTCTAAACTTATAGGTTCCTTAAGAATCAAACTTCTTGTGCTTTTAAAGAAATTAATAACAAATTCGGATACTTTGCAATACTGCTTTATTAAAATACCTTCTTGAAGTTAGTAAAAAGGGGTTTTCGCAGTATATGTAATATGTTTATTTAAGTACTAAATACATGTTGCTACTTAGTACAACAGTTTTGTTCATCTGACGGTTGTTTCTAGAATCTAAAACTTATCGAGATATAAAGAGACTACCAATAAGAACGACGTGATGTTAAAATGAACTAAAACTCTTAAATTTATTCAAAATGGGTTATTTTTTTTTGTTATGCTAATAATTTTATGCAATTTATGATTTGAATGAAATGTTAGCCAAATGGTTACCACGGCCGCGTTTGCATATCTCCATCCATTTCCGCCAATTTTCGATTTCTCGCCGCAACATTTCGACTATAGCTGAATGTTGTCTTCGAGCTTCTCGAGCGTTGGTGGTTGGTTGGCGTAAACTTTTAATTTAGCATGCCCTTAGAGAAGGCTTTAAAAATTTACTAGATATTATACCTTCTTGGCAGATGGCAATATTAGGAGTACCTTGGTTTCCTTTCCTGAGAAGAACTTGTGTTATTTTTAATATATTATATATAAATCAAACACCTACTAGGATATCGGAAGAAAGTTTTATTCAAATAATACCTACTTTGCTATCTGGCATTTGAAATTGGACTTAACGGTTTAAAGGTTTTCAAATACTGAATATATCCATTACTGACTCTATACCGAAAGGATTGGATTGATGTGCCCTAATGGATATAGGAATTTCCTAGATACTGGTTGACTCTGAACTATGTGTTAGATATCTTAATAAAATTTAGTGTAAATATTTTGTCAATAATAATTTAGTTATGTTGATTTTAATGTAAATATCTCGGATGTAAAGGAAAAAGTAACTATGAAAGTAAGGAGTCTATGACGTATGGTTTAAATTATCAAGTAACCACATATGGGCACAATAGACCTATGGTCGCAGTGCATTCCCTAGTTATGTATCTATCTAACCACATATGATTGTCTTCATTAACAAATTTGTCGAAAAACGAATCTTAAATTTTAGCAACACTTTTTAGGATAAAGTTTTAGTTTTTGATAAATAACCAGAGTTTAAAGTTTCAGTTTTGTCTGAAAGTGCTTTCCTTCGTTTAATGATTGCGAGAGTATGATGTCCTCCAAGAATAACGTATAAAAATAGAATCCATCTAACCAATTAACTTAGATTAATGCAATCAGCGCTTTCTCTAAGGATCTATGAAAATAATCTTTTACAGCTTTGAAATTGTCAAAAATTGTAAAGAAAACGATTTTTATTAATAGTTATGATGGAGTAATTGTTACATAAGTAATATACACATTTACATGCGAGTGTAAGAATACCAAGAATAACGTATGGAAATATAATCCATCGAACCAATTAACTTCGATTAATGCAGTCAGGCTTTTCCCTAAAGATTTGTGAAAATAATATTTTATATTGTTACATAAATAATATACACAATTACATACAGATGTTGTTTTAAGAGTGGAAATTCTATTTATACATTGTAATTCTAGGTCTGCAGAGAGAGCTATTCCAGAAGAAAACTCAGAAGATTTGATATATTCTGACAGTGAGTAATACCCATTGGTTTTATTATTTTTGAAGATATTTTGAAGTGTTAAGTATTTTTATATTTACATAGGCATAAATTTTCGCAAAGATTTATATATTCCTATGGCTCCGGTGGTGAAAGCATTGGATTCAATTGGACATAATAATGCTCAACAAGAGAGACAATTTACTGTAGGTGATGCTGCTGTTTTGTCTTGCAACAATTCTCAAAATTCCATCGTAACAACTGATTTGGCTCCCCAAATTCATGCAATTACTATTTCATCAGCAAAGCCCAACGATTTCGAAAAGTAAGTATATTTTGTTTCAGGAGATATCCAAACATTATTTCAATAGTAGTGAAGACATATGAGGACTTTTCAGAGTTTCATTTGAACGTATTACCTGAATAAATGTTTAATTTCTATTTACATAATTTTTAATTTAATTTGTCCTACAATATAGTATAGAAACCCCCTTTCAGAGTTATCCAAATATGGTACAAAATGTTTAAATTCAGAATACAAATTTAAATTATTCTGGGGCTCAATAGTTATTGGAAAAAAATATTTAACCCTCAAATAACATATAATTTTACATTTTACGGAAGTATCACCCGATTTCATCAATTTTTACAGTGTCGGTAAGGTTGCTTAAACGATTTGGATCTTGTATTTTAAGTGGCTTAGGAATTAGGTACATTGAATGCCTTAGAAAGCGGAGCAATAGTTTAATTACACCCATTTACAAACTAGTCCTCACTAATTTGCCAAGGAACACGTGTTTCATCAAGATTGTTTAATGTTTACTCAAGTTATCGTTTCTGCAGACGAAAAAACCGAAAGTCACTCATTCTCATTCGAAGAAACATTCTTTCCACCAAGTCGTTCTATACGTCAGACCGAGTTGCTGCAGACCACGCCGAATCGACTGTTCGTGTACACTCTGATCTACGGCTGCTATATTATCTTCATTCCATGTTGGATGTGGTCATTCGGTCGAATATTATCCAATAATGAATGCTGGATCTCAAGATACGTAAGGACGTCACGAATAGTACGCTCAGTAGGCCGATTATATTGGAACTTAAGAAGAGTGAAGCGCGCGAAACACATTTTTTACGTGAGTTTTCGTAATAAATTAGAACGATTTGTAAACGTTGTTCAGGCGTTAGTCTTTCCATCATGAAATGCTAAACAATACTGAAAAAAAAAATAACATAACAGCTTGACAAGACTCACGCGTGATCTCTGTACTTGGATGTATAATGAAATTTACAAGAAAAAACTATTATACTCTCTAGCAATATGTTAACTAAGTGTTAAGTAAAACTGAGAGCACCTTTTGCTTTCAAAACCACTCCCGTTGCATAAAATTTACGTGTGAAAACAGCAACGAAGTCATCGATTTGAGTTGAGTATGCAGGTACCTCGTTAAAGTGATATAACTTCTATGTTGTTTTTGTAACGACCGTTAGGGTAGTAAGGTTCAAATAAGTTGTCACATGTGTAGGGTTAGCTGAGTATGCAAAGAGATGGTTAGAGTTATGGGCACGTCTGAAGTTTGCTCTGCTCTGTAATCGCAGTGAAAGAGCACGGTCTGTCTACTGTTAGTTAATATGGTCGCTGTGGGCTTAGTGGGAGGAAAGTTTTTGGCTCCTTGCAACGAAAAATTGTAACTTCTGTTTTCAATGCTGCTAACTCTTGTTTTACAAGTTCTAGTTAATTTTTACAATATATTTTTTTTTTTTAATAATCTTTAGAAAGCAAAAATAAATAGTTACAGTAACGTTTTTTAACGCGAAAAAAAGAATTTCTCCACCACTCCTACGCAAGCATGAGAAGACATGTTAGCTCAAGGTTGCTGCCAGTGTCTTTGAGCATCTGGTATAGTTTGTTCGTTGGAAAGTAAGAGTATCTGAGCGCAAAGCTAATTTCGATCAGCGCTGATTGATTTTAGGTACCGCAGTGTGGATGCAAGCTACAGCCCTGAGTTCTGCCATACTTTGCTATTATACTTGTACATATGTATTTGCTTTCTAATTTGTTAATTTTTTTTTGCTGCTTCTTCTTCTTTACTTCTACGCAGTTATAGCCGATTTTACAACAGCGTCCCAGTCATTGTTTCTTTCGCTATTTGGTGTCAATTGGATATTCTAAGTGTAGCGAGGTCCTTCTCCACCTGCTATTTCCAAYGAAGGGAGGCCTTCCTCTTCCTTTATTTCCCCCGGGGGTACTGCGTTGAATACTGGAATATCATTGCTTTGCAAGTGAAGGGAGAAGTCATCGATTTTTGAGATGAAGAAGCTCAGCGCAGAAGAAGTTCATAAATACGTGAAACCAGTTTTGAAGCACCGACACGCGTGGGTTAATATCGGTTTACGATATGAGAATAAAATAGTAAACAAGTTAGTAAGAATATCATTAAAGAACGTGCACTTTAAATATAATAAATATAATTTACTACGTTAAAGTGCATGTTCTTAAATTATATTCTTTAGACTAACTTGTTTATATAAATCTTAGTGCAACTTATAATATTGAGATGCCGGTTGTTTACTAGTACATAACTATTTGGGCTGTTATTTTTTGTTGTAGGGATAGTGC